GGTATGTTTCATGGAGAGAGGAGGAGGAGGAGGGTATGGACGTGGGGAACATACGGAGGGGTCCTTTTCTTCTTCTTTGCTGGAGTTGCTTGAGCTCGTGCTCGAGTTCGAGATGAAAGAGATGCGGTCGTCGTCAAGAATGTCGATTTCCGTCTTCTGCGCACGAGCAAGCGCCCAAGCGCCGAACTGTGCAATGGCCCGGTACTGGTACTTTGCCGGGCTTGTGAAGCTCAGCGTGGGCGCGACGTGGCACAGGTCGTCCCAGACTTGAAGTTGGACGTCGGTCGGTTTGTACTGCTTAAGTTGGGCCCGGGCTTGGTCGTCGAGCAGGGAGTCTGTTGGCGCGTAGCGCTCCGGGTTGGCGCATTTGTGCGCCACATAGATCTGCTCGTCGCGGAGCATCTCGCCGCCGCCGACCATGATGAGGAGCGGAGGAAGGCCCCCGAGAGTCGGCTGCATGACGGGGCTGACGAGCGGGTGAGCCAGCAGCTCGTTCGTGGTGTACATCTAGCTGCGTCAGAATGCGATATGAGGCGAGCGACGGGGAAGCAGAAACTTACTTGGATCTGCTCCTTTATGTCGACATGCTCGCCGTTGATGACAAGTGACAAGCGAGTGGTCGTATCCTTGACGTCTCCTATGGTGGGAACGCCGCTGCTTGATTCAGAGGAGCCGCCCGCTTCTGATGTAGCAAACACGGTAGCCGTCTTCTGGTGGATGCTTATCTTCTTTATTTCGCCGAGCTCGTCCTCGTCAGGTGGCGGCCACGACGGCGAGGGCTTGTGATGGAAACCTGAGGGCGGGATATAATCCAGCGGGCAGTCTTCGGCAACACTTGGAAAAGAGTGCGTCAGGTCTACCCACGGGCTTATGAGAATGGCACCGGCGGGCAGGGGGATCCCTCTGTCCCGCAAGATCACCAGCAACGACAGAACCATGCCTCCGCCTGCAGAATCGCCAGCCAGTATGATGGTGTTGGGCTCTTGCTGGGTGAGGAGATACAAGTAGGTGGCCAAACAGTCATGAAGACCGCAGGGGAAGGGAAACTGCGGCGCCAGGCGGTACCGAGGAGCAATGGCCCTGGCCTTGAGCTTGCGCGCATGACGTTGGATTTGGTACCGATGCTCGTCGACACTCCCAAAGAAGTACGCGCCGCCGTGCACATAGAGCATGACGCGGTTGCCCGTTTCTGCCCCCGTTGCTGTTTCAGCGCTCTTCTTGCGGGCGTGGTAGTCTGCCTTCATCTCGATCCACTCGGCCTTGAGCGGTGACTTTGGCCTGCGCCATTGCCACCACTCCTTGCCGCCGACCCTGCGCACGCCGTCTGGGCCGAGCTGGTCTTGCAAGAGAGACGCGGCGCGCGCCAGCTGCTCGTGGGGGATCTCGACCTCGTCCACCTTAACCCACTGTGGGTGCGGCACCCACTGGTTGGTGAAGGACTGCAGCTCCTCGACGGTGTGACGCGAGGCATACTGGAGAAAGGACCGGATGAGATGGAGGCCTTGGTCGTACGAGATGTGGGCCGTGGGGTTGGGCCGGACAGGCCGCCTCCGGTTCAGATACTGTGATGTGATGGCACAAAACCAACGGTCACCCCTCTGCGAAGCTGAAGCTGACGATGAAGCAGAATCTGCTTTTTGGAACGAGACGCGGGAACAGTGAACCTACGTGGGATACGAGGGTGGAGACGACCGTCGGCGTCACAGCCAGACCGACCGTCGCCGAGTTCATGTTTATGTGTTTGTGCCTGGTCGGATCTCGAGTCTTTTTTCTTCAAGCTGTTTCACGACATGGAGGGTGAGGGTGAGAGTAAAGATAGAGGTCAGGTGTGTAGGCGAAAGTGTCCCATGAATTAAGTGTCCCGAGCTGACGGCATATTAACGACCAGACCAGCTTGCGCGCACGCAAGGGACTGCTTTTTATCGAGATTCCGAAACCATTATCTTTTTTGTCTGATCTTTTCGCCTGGGAAAGGAGGCCAAGTGCCCGCCGTTTCATTAGCTGTGATGTCATCCGTTACACAGGTCACAGGTGTGGAAAGGAGCCTCCAGGGCCCAGATGCCCAAAACATAGCGGACAAAACGGCCCAATCTTTGCCACCAGCCGTCCAACGAGCTGGCACGCACTGACCACACCCAATACCTTGTGCATTATGCATGTATGCACAAGGCAACCATTCCCTTATGCAAGCTGCCTGCCGGTGCACCACCACCCCGCGTCGTCACCTTGAGATTGCCTGGGGAGATAACATCATCAGACTCCTCCGGCCTTCCGTTGTTACTCCCGTCCAGTTGCACCAGTCGGGACTCATAAGAGGGGAGAAGCGTCCCGACTGTCACTCCCCCTAGACATTTCGTTGCTTCGTTTCGCCATTGCGAAATCTCAATTGGTCACCTCAGATAGGCACCATCTGAACCAGAAGGCCAGCCACCTGCCCCGCCTTTCAACACCCACTCCACCATCTAGACTCCAGGTAGGTATCTCTCTGCTCTTGTACTCCTGTCAAACAAACGCCAAATATACCTAACCACCAACATAGCCGTCTACCCAATTGAAAAGCCTGCGACCGAGGATATTCATTACCCGCGAGAATCCATCCCCCAAAACCAGCCCGTAGTCGAACACATATTACCCCATACCCGACCAGCCATCATGGCGAGCCCATACGAAGGTACAACTCCCCATCCCCATCCCTGTACACCAGCACCACCATCAGGGCAGTAAAAGCAGTGAACTAACCCGCCACCTCACCTCCAGTCGAGCACAACATCAAGGCTCCGGCCTCGGGCTCGGCCCCGTGCCGCAGCCGGCAGGTGGACATGTCGACCTTCACGTCGCACCTGCACCAGATCGTGCCCGAGACGTCGTCGACCTCGCCCTCAGCGACCACGACGCACAACAACCCGCACGCGACGCCCAACCCGGCCGACATCTCGGCGCTGTTCCGGCTCCTGCAGGACCAGATGGGCGTGCTGGCGACCACGGCGCCCGACGAGGCCAACCGCGCGTTCCTGCGCGACCTGGTCGAGGCGCTGGAGCTGGACGTGGCGCACCCGCCGACCGAGTTCGCTGGCGTGTCGCAGGAGTACCTAGACGGGCTGGACCGCGTGGCCCGCAAGACCCTCAAGCCCGACGAGACGTGCCCCATCTGCGCCGAGAAGTACCTGGACGACCCGTACTGCCTCGTTGTCGAGCTGCCGTGCCACCACAGCCACCGCTTCGACCTCGAGTGCGTCGGCCCGTGGCTGCGGAGCAAGGGCACCTGTCCGCTGTGCCGGAAGGAGCTGGATAGAAAGAAGAAGGTGGCGGTGGCGGCGCAGGATGACGACGAGGAGAACGAGGATCCCGACGGGCTATATGCCTAGGCTGGGGTTGTTGTCGGGTTTATGAATGTACGGAACATGCTTGCTTTGCCTGCCTGCCTGCCTGCCTGCCTGCCTGGTGCGGTATTGGTTGCGTGCGTGCGTGGCCTTGATTTCTAGGGCAATACCATGCATTGTTTTTATGAGATGCGACCCTGCCTCGCTCTATTGCGCGTGTGGTGTATGTACAGTACAATCTCTTGCACAGGCAGTCGAGTGGGTATGTATGTAGGGAAGCCATCACCGATCAGCTCACTACCGCCACGCCAAATAACGACAAAAAAAAGAAACCGCCTGAACTGAACCAACGAGGTTTTCTTTCGCCCACTGCGGAAAACCTTCACAGCTCACGAACAACAAACCAACTCACGGATTCACCTTCCCGTGCTTCTTAGGACCCGACGCGCCAGCCTTCCCACCGCTCGACCCCCCAGTCCGCCTCTTCTTATCCGACGTATCCTTCTCGCGGTCCGGCTTCAAGCCGCCGGGTTTATCTCCGAACGGCTTGGAAAAGATCTGGTTTCCGCCGCTGGCGTCCAACGCGCCGCCGCCGGGCTCGCGCGCCGAGCTCTCCATCTGCTCCTCCGGGTTGGTCATCTTGGGGTTGAAGGCATCCTTGAGGTTGGCGACGTCGCTGTCGGAGCCGCTCTTTGTGCCTTCGGATGGGCGAGGCTTGAGCGAGGTGCGGTCTTGGTCGTCTTTGTACGGGAGGCGGGCTCGCGGCGTGGGGTGGTAGTGTCTCGAGCTGCTGCTGTTGCTGAGAGCGAGAGGGAGAGTTTTCGACAGCAGGGAGGGGCGGGGAAGATTGAAGATGCAGCGCAGGAATACGAGCTGATGTGAGGCCATGGTTTGTTTGTTTTGGTCACGGCTGAGTAGGTAGGGGATACGGTAGGTGGATCGTGGGTTGGGCTGGGTTGTATAAGTGCTAGCGTTAGGTAAGGTCTTTCATAGGGAGTGTAATAATTGCTCTGGCAGTCGCATACAATCTCTCACGTATGTTCTGAATCAATGGAAATTCGCAATGTTCAATCGTCGCGTGCTACGAATTGGTCACTTCAATCTTTGCTCCGGAAGAAGACTCCTTTTTGCCCGTCTGCCAGGAACCGTGACGTCACCATAGGAAGGTCTCTCTGTGATGCGGCGCGCACGTCAAGCGCTGGTTCCCCCGCAGTGGGGCGGATCCTAGGCACCTCCTTCTGCCCGCATGTGACAGTGTTCTTGCCTCTTGGCTACTGCTCGATTGGTCCCTCGAGTTAACAATAAATCAAGCCCGTATTAACAGGTGCATTGCTGGGAAATACAACTGACGATGGAGTCACGGTGGCAAAGCTGTCACTCGCACCCACGCATAGTTTAAATGAGCTCGACTGCAGAAAGGCCTATCTCGAGGATATCTTCCGTGAACAACAACAGTAGAATGATCTATCGAGAAACAGAACAGAGGCAACAGACATATAAACCAATGATCGTGACTCAATGTGCTAGTTCCATCTTTATTTCCGCCCCACATGCGCATTTCAAGTTCATATCTCACACCACATACGATAACGGCCGGTTCGAGTCCAAACAAAAAGAAAAGGGAGAAGGGGTGAGGGAGGGGCGGAAGCATAGATAGACATGCAAAAAGAATAACAAAGTTGACAATGACGAGATTCGAACTCGCGAGGTTTCCCACTGCGGAATGGACTATTCAGTTCCTAAACACAGCGCCTTAACCGCTCGGCCACATTGCCTTTGATCTTGGGATGATTGTAAGGAGCAAAACTATTGTCATACTTGACCGCACCTTGAGGCATGTAAGCTTCTGTTCAGGCCACTACTGTCGGAATATCTCGAGAATGGGTGCAGGTGGAATATTAAAGTTAATAGTGAAGGAAACCGAGTGTGTCTGAGAACTCATAAATTGGGTAGCCATGCGGACTCACGGACAGCACTATTTCAATTCCTCTTTAGCTCAATGTCTCTTGTGACCCAAGTCTAGCGGATCATGCCTCAATCGCAGGAGTTGCATCAAATATCTTGCGGTGTTGATAGTAGATGCAGCCAACAAGACGATGAAAATAATGTTGCGCCGTGCTTCGAAAGAAGGGAACTAGCATTTCATTCATCGACATTTTAGGCAGACTTCATTTCCCGCAAGTCTAGACAAAGGACCGAGAAGCATCCAATGTTCACAGAAACAGTAGCTGCGAATCTGCCTAACAGGAAGTAGTACCTGGGCATCTCAGTTTCGTGTTCCATTCAATGTCGCCAATTCCAGCTTTCGCATATTTTCCTTCCCATCTGCAGCGGTGGTGCAAATGAAAGCTCGGCGATTTGTAAAGTTTCAAACGCAGATAAAAAGTTCGACTCATTGGATGTTACCGCTCCAGAGCTCAGCATAGTATCAAGCCGCCCTTGTCCTGTCGCACCCCCTTTTCTCCCCAAACAAACAATCACAACCTCCCACAGCCCCACCGAACCACAACTTGCAACCACGGAGCCAGAAACCCACCGAAAAGAAGCAGATGTTTCTAGAGAGCGAGATGGAATGTATCCTAACAAAAACAAAGTCCGACCGGGGAAATTGGAGTGGAAACACATCGTGATCGGAAAAAAAAAAGGAAAAAAGACTGAAACAAAAAAACAAAAAAAAACATACAACACCAGGGATTCGCTGGTGGTCACCCACCCAACTACTAGTCTGGCGGTCGCTTGCTTATCTAGGGCAGAGCGGACGGGATGCCGAGTTCTCAAGTGCCTATGGTCGTATGTGATATGGTGGTAGGATACACGTGTATCTATATGTTTGGAGGGAGTCGGAGATACGAGAAATGTGTTGATTGCTGCACCTTCTGTTGGTAGTTCAACAGCTGGCGTATACACTCACCCGCGCACTGTTTTTTTTATTTTACAAAAGCCCGATAGTCACCCCGGTTTGGACACGCTACTAATATGAGTTCAGGTGGGACGTAAGCAGATAAAACACCTACGCAGCAAAGACAGTTGGCTCTCGCTCTACCCTCCGCAATAGACCTCCATTAACCCGGTAAACGCCGCTCTATCAACCATAATGTCATTCATGACTCCGCGTCAGGGCGCGGGGGCCTATTCCTCGATAGTCTTGACGCACTCCCACTCGCCCCTCAGGTTCTCCTTCCACAGCGTCACCTTGTTGTCCCCGCTGCTGGCCGCCAGCACGTTGCCGCTCAGCGACCAGCTGACCCGCCAGACTGCCGCCTCGAACTGGAGCACCTTGCAGCTCCACTGGCCCGAGGCCAGGGCGTCGCTCGTCCAGATGCGTACCGTCCGGTCCTGCGACGCGCTCGCGATGTAGCTCTTCTGCAGCACGGTGGGGCTCCAGGCCACGTCGCGCACCCAGTCCGTGTGGCCCGTCAGGGGCTCTCTCTCCTGCTTGTAGCTGTTGGTGCTGGGGTCGTAGACCCAGATCTTGAGCTGGTTGTCGGAACCGCCCGTGACGAAGCGGCGGTTGCCCGTCGAGCCGGGGCCGGGGTTGCTGCTGACGATGCTGCCGGGCGTCGTGGAGGGCGCCCACGAGACCGAGTTGACGCCGAGCCCGTGCGCGTGGAAGATGCTGTGCTCCCAGCTGTTGTCCTTGAACTCGAGCACGCTCACGTTGCCGTCCGAGGAGGCGCACGCCAGCAGGCAGCCGGCCTCGTGGGGCGACCACGACACGATGTTAACGCTGGCCTTGTGGAGCGCAAAGTCGAAGATGCGCTGCCAGCTGCCGCCCTGCTCGCGCCAGATGAGCACCTTGCCGTCGTAGCCCGCGCTGGCGAGGATGTTGCCGTACTTGGGATGCGCCCACGAGACACACCAGACTGCGCCGTCGTGCCTGTATGATCCGCTCTGTCAGCATGGTGGCTGGGTTTGGGTGCGCGCTACGGGTGGTCGTTTGCGTACCCCTTTAGTGTCTCGGTGAGCCGCTGGGTCTCGCCCTCGATCTCAAAGATCTTGATGGTGCGGTCCGACGAGCAGGTTGCCAACCTCCGGCCGTAGTAGTCCAGGACGGCATCGTGCTGCTCGAACGTCAGAATCTATGCCGCCAGTGTGTGGTTTGCTCTGCCTGCCGCGCTGGCTCTTGGAAGAATCGGATTGAGGTTATCGAGGTGCGCCTGGATGGGGGGACAGGCGTGCTGCAAGGTTAACGTACAATCATGTCATCGTGGCCAGAGTTGGCGATGACCTGTGCTCCTGCCGTCTGGACAGCTTGGTGGTTAGCAGATGCAGCTCATTGAAGATGACAGAGAAACGGCGAACAAACCATATTGGCAACGGCCCTATGGTAGAATTTGGAGGAAGAGCAAGATGCAAATGCGATGCCGTGAACTGGATATCAAGGGCGACTCCAGGGCGTGAAGTGTTTGGTTATTAGAACTGGATGGTTGTTGATCGGATCGCTACAAGCAGTACCTGTTCAATTGCGTTTGGAGAACCAACCGCACTTTGGACTTGGGTCAGAGGCCACCTCCACTGTCAGAGTCGACGCGCGCAGGCCAACGTGGCCGACCCCTGCTCCACAGGTTACCACGTACGGGTTGCAGCTGTCTGGCAGAAAATTCGAGGTGGGCCCGGGCGGTGAGGAGCGCTCGTTCGTTCCTGAGCCCCAGTGAGAGGCTCCCAGGCACACCAGGGCTCCTTGCAGTGGAAGCTGGTCAGGGCGTCCGCCACCCCACCTGCCCCACACAGCCGCCCCACGGGTCCAAAGTCGCCTTCGCACCCGTCACGGGCTTTTGCCGGCCCTGCAGCTTGCTTTGCATTGTCGCTGCTGCCGGCCAGCCTCGGTCACAAGCTTATTCTTATTCGCCGTCTCCATATTGCAGTCTATTACAATGGATACACGACCTCTATTCGACTCTGCTTTCGCAAAACAATCCCCGCTCCGACAGTGAAACGGCGCAGCCTCAGCCTTCTATTGACAGAGCGGATCCGGACTTGACGTCGCCGGCTGAGGTGCTTCCTCAATACTGGGCCGACACGATACCATGCGCTCCCATTGTGCCCATCTTCACCTTTACCCCGTCCCTCCTATTCTTCCTATTCAGACTTCGACGCCGACGCCGACTCGGACTGCTGGTCGCATTGTTCCACGCTGATGACCTGAGCCTACACGGCCTCGGCTCCTTGCGCCATTCTTTGGATATATAACTCTCTCGTCGACTTGGCTTCCCACAACTCCTCTTCTTCTTTTCGTTACATCTGCATCCTCGCCAGCTTTCGCTTCATCCTTTGCGCAACAGCTTCTCTCCCTAGTTTAAAGCTTCAAAAACATCCTCCAACTCCCGCAACCATCATGGCCGACAACATGTGTGGCCCGTCCAACGGCGCCAAGAGCCTCGTCTCGCATGCCGATCGAGACCGCGCTCTCCATCAGGATCGCTTTTCCAATGCGCCACAGGCTGGCGGCTCGGCCGTATGTGTTCTGACGACTCTGATGACAGTGGCCGGCTTGGTTGCTAACTCCACTGCCTAGGCCTTCCGCTCTCTCGCTTCGTTTTCCCACGGTGCTGATAATGCGTTTGAGAGTTTCCAGCAGGGGCACTCGCTCAACCCTGCCGTTGTTCCCACCAGTCTCAACCCCCAGTTTACCATGAATCACGCTGCCCATCAAGCCTTTGGTCATGCCGTCGGTGGTGCCCCTGCGGCATTCAACCCCAACGGACACCTTGCTCTGGGTAATGCCGGCCCTGGCCCCGTTCATGCTCCGCTCCAAGGTACTGTCGCCCATAAACAATGGGTTGACCAGTTCGCCAACATGCAGCTCGGCCATGACGTTGTGCGCGCTGGCCCTATCATGCCGCAGCCGGTCATAGCCCCTGGACTCGTGAACCACCATGTTCAGCAATTCCCAATGCCTTTCAACGCTCCCCAATTCCCCATGAACATGTACGGCGGTGCCGCGCCTGCGTTCGTGTACGGCCAGCAAAACATCAACTTCAGCGGAGCTTCCCAGCAGTCCGAGGTCGGACTTGTCACTGGCGACTCTAGCATGGACATTGAGGCTTTCAACCGGGCTTTCGGAGACTATGACGAGGGCGAGTTCGAGCGCGAGCTGGCCGATTGGAAGCAGGAGGAGCTGGCAGCTACGGCAGAGCTTGCTGAGGCTCAGGACTCGTGGATGGCCCAGCACGGCCCGAGAACCGAGGCCCGCATTGCGCAGCCCCCTACCGCTGAGGAGATGGTTGCCATTGACGCCAATCTTGAGGAGCTGGCCCAGGAGCTCGAGGAGCGCCGCGCGGCTGGTGACCCCGCTGTTCTGCCCACCAAGGGCCCAGAGGCCGAAGCTCGCCGCCGCAAGCGCGAGGACGACGACCTCGCTCGCGCCGCCGTCGACATCCTCAGCTCTGTGTCCGACAACCAGTCCGAGAAGTTCAAAAACTCGAACTTCCTGCAGCTCATGCGCCGCATTGGCAACAGAGAGATTGTGGTGGAGGGCACCGACCTGGTCGACGTTGAGTCGGGCGAGAAGGTTGTGTACAAAGAGACTGGTTCCGAGCACGATTCCGGCATCGAGGGTGCGAACCTAGATGGAAAGGGGAAAGATCGGGCTGACGGTCAGAACGGTGGTCTGCACCCCACCGTCGAGGAGTACAATGGCCACAACGGCCTCAGCACTGCTTGATTTTGCATCGCCAGTTTGTGGAGGATGTACAACTACGTGGCTCCTGTGGATTGCTCCGGTAGCACGGCTTTTCTGATCGGACTGTGGAACTCGATTGTCGACCCCGGGAAT